CCTTAACGCCGGCAAACAAATTATCCGCGCTCGACATTTCGGCCAAAATATAGTTCCGGATATGAGGTTCAACCGCGCGATCTCTCATCCCCCGTTATTTGCCCATAAAATTATTGTATTTAGCCCGTAGCTGCGAATTTCGCTTAATAAGATGATTTGTTGCCACCATGAAGGAATTGCCGGGGAAATAGAGCGCCGATCATATTAGGATAATCCGGTCTGCTTTATCAATATATCGACATAATTATACTCTTTTGTTTTTCAACTAATTGCAATTCAACTCTTTATTTCGGCATTATTTTCGCGAGTTGAAACGATGAATCTACAAATAAATGCCTTACGCCCGTATTTGACTATTAAAGCCAATATACATATGCGTTATGCAAAAGCCAATGATTTATCACTTATATGGTAGTAAGTCCTTTTCGATGAATTCACTGTCACAAAAATAAATATACTTTAATATTGAATTATGCGATAAAAATATTGCTCATGTTCAAGGATATCGACACATTTCCAATAAATGTTTTTTTTTTTCTATTTTTTTTTACGTACATTCATAATAATAATGACAGTTCTAAAACATTTGATATCTCAAGTATGTAAAAGAAAAAATATATATAAAAAGTAAGTTGAGAGCAATAACAATCGTATAATATCATGAAAAGCAACGTGAATTTTCTTTAGCTTATCCGTTTAATAATTAAATAATTATAATAAATAATTAATTAGTTTGATTTATTTTATCTGGTAAATGAGAGGGTGGGAGATAAAGAGAATAACAAAAATAAAGAATTATGAATTTTAAATTTAAACCTCAATTACAACCGTATTAAATTGTATAAAAATTGTAGAGAATTAATTAAATTGCTAAAGCCAGGATGAATTATTTAAAAATTTGAAATTATGAAAACGATAAAAGACTATGATAATACTTGCAAAGTAAAACGACTAATACTCCGAAATTTTTAATTAAAATAATTACTTCCTCTCAATAATTGAATGAGAAATAAAAACTTTTAATTTGACAAAAGGATGTTTTATGTAAGGAGGGAATAATTAGATTAACTAATCTAATCAATGGATGGAATGAAATATAAGAGTTAAAAGAAAACTGTCCCAAGTTTTGACACGAATGTTAAATTATACGAAAATTATGAAAAATAAGAATATATTATTAACAAATACATCTACAAGCAATTAAATATTATAATAAAAATAATTTATTATATTAAGGGTAGGTAAGAAAAGATATTCGCAAGTTTTTGTTGTTTGTTTGTTTGTGTGTTTTTTTTTTTTCTTTTTTTTTTTTTTTTTTTTTTTTTTTTTTTATTCCCAATCACCAACAGATATAATAAACCGTATTTTTACAGAGGCTAATTAATACATTGCAGAAAAAAATTAAACAAAAACTAATATTTAAGTAATATACAGGCGCTTAAAGTTTCGAACTCTCTTATAAACGCTTTTTTATTTACAAATAGGGATACAGAACTCAAAAATATTTTACGACATGGCAGCTGTTGCACTCGCACAAGCAATACGTTATTTTGCCGAGGCCAAGCAACATGTGTTTCTGCAGATTTGGAATTTTGGCACGTGCTCGCTTCCAATTGAACTAAGCTATTTTTCTTTCTTTCTTTGCTTCTTTCACTTCTCGAATTTAATCGCGTAAGGTAATCTTGCCGGTGCTTAAGAGGAAGTGAAAGCGGCCTTTTCAAACAATAATTTCGTCGATCAATCCAAGTCAATGTTTTATCAATACAAATATGCTTAGAGAAAAGAGGGCCAGAGAGCACGAAATAATTCGCAAATACATAAGCCCGACTAACGAAGCTTGTAGATTAAGGGGAAGCGGTTTATGGGAATTTCATCGTCCATAGATCGAGGGAAACGCTTGTTCCATTAAACGGTGCTGACGCTATAATCTTTAGATACTTTTGTTTTAGAAACGACGTAACGTCACATTTTAACGAATTTGACCGAATAAGAGAGATGAGATCGCTGAGAAAGCCAACGATATTTAAACCCGAGTGAGATCACTGCCGATAAAGAAATCATAAGGACGAAACTTTAAGAGACAAGGTTTCGTTTACGGCTATATATCCATCCAATAACGCCAAACTATTCACAGAATATAATTTTCTACTTCGCAGTAGAGTGACAGAGTACGCGATTTTTTTTTCTCGCGTACCATTCAATTCTCTTTTCCCACCATTGTTCTTAATTTTATTTTATTTTTTTGTTTTATTATTATTATTATTATAATTTTTTTTTAATCATAAATGCAAATCGTTGTTAAATTAAATTGCATAGCTTTACATCGTTGCTGCGTAAATACGAGGAAATATCTTTAATTATTAATTATTGATATGCTAGATGTGTTAGCTGTAACTAAACATTGCATTATAATTATTATCATTAATAATATAATAATAATGATGACGATAATGACGATAATAATAATAATAGTAATAATGATGATAATAATAATGATGATGATGATGATGATGATGATGATAATAATAATGATAATGGTGAGGTTGATAATGATAAGAATAATTATTATTATAATGCGATCGTTTCATAACTTTATTTACAATTCGTTATACCACTCATGTTCTAGCTCGTATAAAACAAGCGCAAAATTCTCTTGTAACAAGTGCAATCGCACACAGTAATTAAACGTTACTGTCTTTACTCGAACTTGCCAAAAACTAAAAGAAACCTTTAACGAAAAATGAAATAAAACAAATAATTAAGTACATCGAAAGTTCAACGATTCATATATATATCATATGTATACGTATTTGTATATGTATATATAAGTACCGCCCTAAGTACTTGGCTTTTTTCCTTGTGCTTGGCGACGCTGTTTTAGTTTACTATTTTTCCATTTTCTTTGGGACGGACAAAAGGCGTTTGTTTTATCGAGCTCGCTGTCTTAACTGAATTCCTGATTAAAAAAAAAAAAGAAAGAAAAAAATAGAAAAAAAAGAAAAGAAAATTTAATTCCTTCAATTTGCATTTGCTCACATTTTTTTCACAACAATATTGTATATTAACCAATACTATGTGACTTGCAAATAATTCATTGAGTGTCGACGTTAATAAGTAAAAATATATTTTTTGTAATACGGGAAGTCCAATAATTAATATATTAAACGAAAAAATTTACATGACGGAGATAGACCTAGGACGAAATAGTTAATGAACCGAAGCATAATTTTGTATTGGATTTTATACGTTTGCTTGTTTAAGAAATACATTTTGCAATTTCTAGAAGAATATACAAGCTACTAATTTCTATAAGTTATTGAAATTATTATAATGTATTATTGATAAATTCTTACTTTGAATATAAAATCAATATATCCTCGGGGTTTGCTTTTACTTTTGAATTACGAGCATTTAAGTACATGAATTAATTAATTAGATGATTGGCTTAAAATTTTTAATAAAATACTGAATTATAATATAATTATACAATAGCTTTGTATTGCATAATGTTAATTAATGCTTGGTAATTGTAATTTAACGGTATTAAAGTAACAATAAATAAATGGATTTAAATAGTGGCTAATGGCGACATTATTACAAATGACATTGCGTAATACTTTTTATTTATCATTAAAAGTAACCTAACTCAAGATTTATGATTTTTTTTTGTTTTTATTAAGTTCAAATAAAAGATATAGTCGCTTTAAAAATGCCAACATCGAATATCAATCTTTCAAATGCTTTCATTAACTATTCTATTCAAGTAATTTATGCACAACAAAATAATGATAATAAAAAAAAAACAAAAAAATAGCTTGCACAAAAATTGTAATGTTTGCGAATCGATAATAATTCGAGCTCGAGCCACCGAGAATCTCGCCACCGAATCCATCCCAACTACTTCCAAAGACTACAGAATTTTATTTTTATATTTGCAGTCATGATAATGATTTACAGTGTATTTAGTTATGCATTTCGAAAAGATTATGTTTAATAATAGACAACAATAGTGTGAAAGGACATCATACTTATTTCTTTCTAATATCAACATCTACTCTTTATTTTGATATCGTGTGGAGCTTTCGGCAATTAAATATTGACCGAATATTTTTAAAATTTATGTAATATAATTAAATATACGATACTATTCGTTTTCTTAACATTTTTTTTCTCTTCGTTTTTTGTTTTCTTTTTTGTTTTCATTTTCATTCAAAGGCATATTATAATACTTGAATCTATTATAATCTAAACTCTGATACTGGATTTGATTGGTTATTATTAAAATATCAAGATTGGATAAATTTAACAATTTGTCTTATATCAGCTTAAAAAAGTTTTTTTTTTTTTTTTTTTTTTTTTTTTTTTTTAAATTTAATTTGTGTCGAAATGAAAAGAAACTTTGTACTCCGACTTGTTTTCTTCTTTTAAATAGCCTAATGAATTTTGAGACTATTCGACCAAAGCACAAAAGGTTTAAACCTATTTTTCCTTTGTCTTTCCTCCCACCCCACCCCCACCCCACCCCCTTTTGTACTATTGTCGAAATCCCAATATAAGTACTGACCCATTCAGCATATCACAGATCTTGTCCGATATTCAACAAATATTTGCATAGATTAGCGCATCATTTACCATTTTTTCATTTTTACGAGTGTTTGTTCGTTTGAAACGTTTCTTCCGTCAAGGTTAATCGCTTACTTTCTATCCTTTTATTTCGTTCGTTATTATTAATTAATTTTTGTTATCATATAGCTTCAACGTTATTATAATTGGTGCAGTAAAGGTTCATTGGTGCGTGTAAATTTTGCGCATTATGCAACGAACGACGATAATCTCTCAGCTCTCGAGGCTAAGTAGATTATTTTAAGGTTTTATTGCAGCATATAAGTATTTTATTTATTTTTTTTTTTTTTCAAAAATCTCTGACGATATTTTGCATTCGAGCCTCGGCGACATCGAGAAGAACGCCTGGAACGACCATTATTTCGTTTTTACAAATTCTAAGAATAGTACTAAGAAGGTAAAATTTTTCAATAAGCGCAAACAATATGTACAAAAATCCACTTGAATGGCACTCTTACGCTCTCCCCCAATTAATATTGTTAGATATAGCAAACGGTACTAAAGTATTGTTTGTACTCGTGTTTGGAAGTGTGTGCGAGGTGAGTACACGCGGTAAAAATTCGAGAAAGATCAGTAATGAGTATGTCTCGAATGCGCATGACTCGCCGTACAAAACGTGCTTAATAAATTCTTATTAAACTAATCAACGTGTATTTATTTATAAACTACACTTTACCGTATGTTACATCTACATATGCTTATCTAACAAATATCATCTTTCAAAACATATGCACAAAAATTATAATACTCAATGCGCATAAATTGCTCTGAAATTATGCCAATGTGTAGCTACAGCGGCGGTAACTCAATCGCTTTACAAATTTAATAAATTTAATAAATATATGATCTTATTATCCAAGACGATATACTAGAAAATACTATGATGAAACTTGGAAAAACGAAATTGACGTCGTAATAGTAACTTTCATTTGAGCATCTTTTATTTTGCTTTTAATTCTCTCCTTAAATTCTTTACGAATTACTATTTCATAATTATCCATTCGATCTAGCCGTGTTCCGAGCGATAACTGTCATTTACATATCAAACTTGGGCTTGATATTGAAACTAAGTGCATTTGACGCTAATAAGCATCTCGACTTTGCGTAAAAAATATGAAAGTCTCGCTCTCGTTTCTATTTATTGCAGATTTTCTCGTTACGATGACGAAAGACTTCTCTTTACATTATGAAGAAATTTTCTCATCGTGTCTGGGTGCGATAATACTCGGCGATACTTTTACTTAACTCCTCGCGCTATAATTGCACCTGTTGATAAAATAATAAATTATTAAAAAAATTTTTTCAAAATACTGTTACATTTTATCGTTATGAAATGATATGTACTTGCACATATCCATACACGCTAAACTGAAATCAACTTTACGTAATATTTGAATAACGTATAAGGTAAGAAAAATTTAGATCTATTTCATAAGATCTAACATTTTTATAAAAAATATATCCATATTTTTCAAATACTTGTAAGTGAGAGCATTTCTTCGGTACTGATGATAAGCAAGGAAAAAGGGGTGTTATTATTACTCATCCGACAATTGTAAAAGTTTATAAAATGAAAGAAAAGAGCCTCTTTTACATGCTTATTTCCAAATGTACAAAGTGTCAGAGTATAGAAATCAATAAAAGTATATAAATCCAATAGAAGAATCTAGCCTTATTTCTCATTAAAATATATTTTATACGTGCACACTCATCCACGCCTACATATTATTCGTATGTGGTCAGGGGGTAGGAATAATAAATTCGACTACTCGGTGGTATCTAATATCGTTAATAATGATATTATAAGAACGATATACTCGTTTTATTAAAAATTCCAAATTTACAAAGTTATAAGGATTTTCGTGGGAATTCGTGGGAAAAAATCGTGGGATTAAAAGGAGATCGATCGTGGCAATTTTTATAAAGTCTTTAGCGAAGGACTTTATATTGCAAGTTAGGGAAGTAGATTAAAACTTAAAGATTTTCATGATGAATAGAGAAGATTAGCGAATTAATCACCCAATGTCATACGCACGAAACAAACTTTATAATTCCATAGCCGCGAACAATACAATACTCGGTAGAGAATATATTTAAACGAGTGGCAAGGCAATGAATTCCCTTTGAAATGAATTGAACATGACTAGATGCAAGACTAGATGCAAACAACGAACCTGGAAAGCTTGTGTGGTATTGGGTACGATGAAGGGATTGGTAGTGGAGGCCTGTCTGAGATTGCGAGCTGCGATCTCCGCCCACTCGGCATCGAAGGGATCCCCGGTTACACCCGTCCTCGTGGCATTCGGACTCATACCCGTAGATCCAAGGGACATCGCTCGTGTATGCAGTGGTGGCGCTCGTCTTGGAGTAGCGGAGTTGGCGGGGACGGCTTCCGTCGCCTGCGTCGTCACGTTGCCCAGCCACTGCTCCGGTTTCGGTAGGTTCCTCGTGCTCGCTACTGGCTCAATCTAAAGCGTCACAAAATGTAAGCTCGTCACTCGACGAATAGTCTTTTTTCCATTTTAACGTCACAAAGAATTCGACTGCCTCGTGTCTGCAATTCAATTACGAGTCGACAAGATACAAAACAAAAACAAAAAAAAATGACCAAATTATCCTCCTTGTATTATAGCGATATTGCGCGGTTAGGAAAATCATTAGCATCCTAAATGCGGCTTGTAAACTAAAAACTCGTCTCCATGTGCCAAAGCTATGTTTATCACAGAGATTCTAAGCTCAGAGATAATACGTCATCAAAAATGACTTCTTTATATTTTGTTTGTTGGATTATTTTCATTTTTCAATTTTTATTTTTGTTTTTGTTCATGCTTGTGCTATTAACTTACAAGCGTGGCTATGCTTTCACGCGAGAGTGAGACAAAGGAGAAAAAATACAAAGGTAAAAGAGGGCTCGGAAGCAGACTTTACCGGTTCAACGGTTATTGGTTGCGGGCTCGTGGAGATGGCGCTGATTTCCGACGTGTCGGCAAGGTCCGTCGAGCCCGGCGAACCCGGCGTAGGTGTGGATACGGCCGTGGCGATGGCGGTGGTGCGCGCGGACGAGGACGAGGGCGAGGCCGAGGCCGAAGCCGAGGCGAGACTGGGCGTGTAGCTCAACGAAGCCAGAGCCGATTGTGCGACCAGGGCAGGCGATCTGTTGATTATGGGCCCGACAGCGCTGCCGAGGGACGAAGTCGATGCCGTGCTGAAGACTGGACTCGCCGCCGGCGTTTCGAAGATTGAGGCGATCGTAAGGGGAATGGATGGAGTATTGCTCGTGTCGTTTCTAGACAAAACTGGACTTAGTGAGCAGCACTGGTTGAGGATCGGCGTTAATCGGTGATTCGCCGATAATTGGGTGTTTGGATGTTCCTGCCAATTCATCCCGTCACTGTTCAATCGACCACCATTATCGCTATGGGTAGTATTAGCGTTGGTATTGGTGGTGTTGATGGCGTTGGCGTTGGCGTTGACGTTGGCGTTGGTGTTGGCGTTGGTGTTGGTGTTGGCGTTGGCGTTGGCGTTGGCGTTGGCGTTGGCGTTGGCGTTGACGTTGGCGTTGGTGTTGGCGTTGGCGTTGACGTTGGCGTTGGTGTTGGCGTTGGCGTTGGCGTTGGCGTTGGCGTTGGCGTTGTTGTTGAGGTGGTGACTGTTGTTGTTGTTGTTGATGACGAGGACAGTCGAGGGAATGGTGCCGGAGCCCTGTCCATTTTCGAGCTTCGAGCGTTCGACAGAATTGCTATCCGCCACTGAAAATCCACGAGAAACGTTACTCCATTTTATTTATCCTACCTTTTTATGCTCTAGAAATTAAAGTAATAAAAGTGCGTCTTTTCTTTTATTTAACGCAGATGTGTTTCATGTAGTATGGACAACATATCGATATGATTTATTTGCAAATATTTGCATATTATACGTACGCGTTCTTTCACATAAAGTTTGTTTTTATTTGTATTTATTTTTTTGTTTCTTTTTTTTTGTTTTTTTTTTGTTTTTTTTTTGTTTTAATACTTACGAGTGCGAAATATTTTGCGCGACTAGTATCTGGCAAGTTATAAGTTCTCATTGGTAAAATGATAAAAGTCGTCTAAATCGAGGGAGGAAAAGGTTTCCGAAGAAAAAGTCAGCGATGTCGTATGAGGAACGGTCAGCCGCGCCTTTCTAAATGATCGATGAAACTATCGGTAAATTCATTGGACTCGTATCGTAAATCCAACGCAAACTATAAATCTTCAACAGCGATGAACGATGCGCGTTCAAAGGATAAGTTCTTTTTGAAAGGAGCGGATGTGTCCTCCAAGCGTTTATCGAAGCAGAAAATGCTGAGCGCAAGCGTATTTTATTATTGGGAATCGCGATACCGCGAGTGATAGTTACCACTTGGTAAGCTGCCCATCGTCGTTGTGGTGTTGAAGAGTTTTTTGACGACCGTACTCGTGGCCGTGTGAGTGATGACCGGGCCGTAATCGTCGCTACTGGAGAGCAACGATAGGCCGCGCGCCAATTGCTGACACATTGCTGAAACGCTGTCCTGGCCACTTGGCGATATCTCAGGAATGGGACTCACTGCGGGCAATGGATTTTTATATTTAGCGATCGTATAATGAACTGATCGTCGGGTACACGCTACTCATACAATAACGAGAACTCATGCATTTGCACCGAGAAATTAATGTGCAACGAAGAGGTTCAGTCGTATGCAGAATATATATAATGATTTCTCAAAAGGCTAACTCTCGATACGCATTTTGTACAATTTCACGATTATGGATCCTTTGCCGTACGGATGTATTAAAAAATCTTTTTCACGCGCTAGATTTAATGACAAAAGTCTGTTTTTATGTAATGGTATGTAAGCTTATAAGTCATGCATATGAAAATAAATATCGCGTGATACATGTACCGCATCTCAAGTATATTCTTATAACATTTGATAATATTGCGATTGATAAGACGGTACAAAATGTTTACGAGAGTTTTCCAAATTTAAACTATTAAAACTATTAAAACATTTATTTATTTTTTCTAGTGCAAACTAATACTACAAAATGTTAATATATATCGCAGTAAGGAGAATAAAAATAAAAATAGAAGAACAAAATAGAAATTTTTTAATTTCTACTTGTACAATAGACACATTTTCTTGCATTTTATAAAAATATAATAAACATGAACATTATAATAAGGTGTAAATGAAACGTATAGCAACCTTCTTCGGTTCCGTTGTACTCTGTTATAAAGAAAAACAAAAAACAAAAAAAAAAACAAAAAAAAACAAATATAAGATTATTAATTATTATACCTTTTTAAATGCATGTTATTGTTATGTTATATTATAATTATCATTAAGAGAAGATTAATAGTAATGGTCATAAAGATATTATGACATTTTGATAATTAAAATCGTTATTCCACAATGATTAAATGATAACATTTTGCTAATAAACATTTACGTCATAGCACATTATATCGACAAATACTATTTTAATATAAATTTATATATATATATATATATATATATATATATATATATATGCGCGTACACGCCTACGCACATATGTACGAGCAACAGTACGTAAGACTCGCGCATATACATATAACTTTATAAAAAATATCTTTGGCAAGGCAATAATTTATTGTTTGCTCTTTATTCTCATCCCCCATATTACAATGAAAAGTCTACTGTATACTCCCCTACGGCATAATGATTCTTAAAACGAGTAACAGACGAACAAATTGAACAAATAGAAAATTCGGACGAGGTGCATAATGCGCTCACCGGGTGGCTTAACAGGTATTTGATGGGGGTGGGTGAGGGGCATACGCGCCAAATCAGTTGGCTCGAGGCTGTGACTGCGGGTGCGCTCGAGATTACTCGGTAGATCATTGACACGCAAACTTAGCTGGCGTTTGAAGGGCGAAGCTTGATTCAACTGATTGAAACCTCGAAATGAGCCTTGACGCTCGAGCATCGACGGCGTCGCGTGCGGCCTCTCGATCGCGTACGGGTTGTAAACACGTCGTGCTGGTGGAACATCTAAAATCAAAACAATTGTTTTATTGACCCTGGCCTTGGATTTACCACATTGCTGAAAGTGAAATCTTGTATTAAAAAGATTATTTTCCCTTGGGACTTGCCGACGATTGAAATCGCTCGAATATTAATAATTAATGTGAGAGAAGCGTTATTTTCAAGGTTTGTGTACTCACTAAATTAGCGAACACCACTCGACACCATAAATAATATGCTAATGTATGCGTAATACTACATACATATATATATATATACATAAGTGAGTGAGATTTCAAGTTTTGGTAAATAGACGAACGTCGATGATACATGATACGTTAAACAAACCACAACGAAAAGCAGAAAAAAAAACTTAAGGACATTCACGACGAATGTTGTATGAAGAATCTTTTAAATTAGTATGAAATCAGATATGAATATATGTTTGTAGGGTAAGCTAAGTGTGGTGGTGGTATTAGCAAGCCCAATGTTAATGTGTGTGTGGCGAATGAGGGCGCCACTAACGCTTACCTACTATATTTATGGGTAATTTAGACATCGTTTCCGCCGAGTTTCAATTCTAAATCCTAAGCAATCGCATTTCGTTTCCAGATAACAAAGAGAAATGCCAAAATTACACTTATTTTATGAACGTTAAATGCACCAATTCTTACTGGCGTTGGCACTTAAAACAAAATGTTTAACGAAAATCGACAAAGGTTTTCTCAGCAGCAAAGTACAAAGTCCAATGACCGGGAAAATGCTTTGTTCGCAGAGCAGATTTTATTCGGTCATACGAATTTTAGACGCTTCTGTATACAAGTAAAAAAAAAAAAAATGCGTTTGTGTTTATAAAACACGTATTAACGCGCCTGAGTTTTGGATTTCAAGCCAATGCGTCACAATTTCTCGTCCGTATTCTCGTTCCGACTGTATACGGATAATATTAATGAATTATTTAACTTTAATTTAAATAAGTTAATACTTTGATGGGTATGAATTGGAAATCTTGTTTCTTTCAACACTTATTAATATTGGAAAATACAATGATAAAACAACAAACGACTGTATCGGATCATTTTAATGGATAACGAAAATAATAAAATACTATATTTAAAATAAATGAAATATTCAAAAATGACGTTAATCAAAAGAATTAAACTACAATTGAGATACAGTTTAGGGGATAATTATGAGATAACTTAAACTTGATTAATGATTGGGATAAATGGCAATCAAAAAAAAAAAATATATATATATATATATATATGTATATATACAACACGAGTTGTATGGATGCACAGAGCATCTAACTATAGGCCAACACAAGAATGTAAAAAAGAAATATAAAAGAATGTTTAATGATTTTATTATAAAATTATATGCTGAATGTAAAACGATATTCACGGCAAAAGACGCCATAGTGAAAGAAATCGTTACGAGATATAATAAAAAAGGATGAATACGCTAAGGAAATAAAGAAGATGGAATACATGCGATATTTGTATTAATTCAAAAATTGCGTAATATGATATCAGTATTGGAAATGATAAAGAAGATTCACGTAATATTATATCGTCAGTTCCAACCATTAAACTTCAGTTGCAAGTGTTAAATAAAAAAAAGAGAACAAATTCTTTGTTCAATGCTTGGGGATCCAAAAATAGTATTTAATTTTAAATAGAGAAACTTTTGATGAACTTTGCGAATAGAAATGGATATTTGAATAAATTAATAAATACATAAAGTAATCGAGATAAGAAGATTATGAGTGGAACATTAAAAGTTATCTATACAACAAACTTTACGATTTTTCTACTAACATGTTGTAGGATTAAAAATAATTTTCAACAAACAATATTACAAGAAATAGATATACTTAAATAAGGTATGGTGATTAAATTTTCAGAAGACTAAAGCATCTAATATTTATACATTTGAGAGTGTTAGACATTACTAAAGGGGGTGTAGTAATAACTTTTAAGACAAACAATTCCGTAAAATAATAATCTTTAATTACTTAATAAAAAATCGTCGAATAGGCACACAATTAGCATAAACAAATAAATAAACAAGATTTTAAGATGAGAAATCAGAATGTATTTAATGTAAAATACGATAAAGACTTTTCTTACTATAGAATGTAAGAATATAATATCAGTAAAAAATAAATAATTTGTAAAGACAAAAAGGAAAAAAAGGAGAGAGAAAAGAACTAATAAAGAACAACATATTGTACTGAATATAATAAAAAATATATTAAAGGAATTACTACACACATATCTCAGTATTTCAAATCAATTAAAATAGAAAGTTATATAGGCACGATTGCAAGCATAAAATATGAGGTCATACAAATAATATAAAAATATTAAAAAACTAAAAAAAAAATACAAAATACTAGTCGATTACTTCTTAGACGAATATGACTCGTTGATAAAAAGAATGTAAAACTTATTCCCAAAAGGATACTTTATAAGTTAAAAGAATAAAGAAAAACTTGTAAAAATGTATAAAAACCACATGTGCAATTCAAGCTGTTATCAATATATCAATATATAATGGAAAATTAAAATAAATTGAATTAATAAAAAGAAAAGTAAAAAGACAGATAGTAAAGTCAGACAAAAAATTTGTGACAAAGATAAGAGAGTCGCACACTATATACTAATCATTTGAAAGCATAATAATAGTGTACAACGTAAAACTAATGATAAAATTCATAATTAAGGTCATAAAAATGAAGAAACTTAATAAATAATGGAGAAAAAAAAGCAATTAGCGAGCAATGAGTAGATACTATAAAATGTAGTCATTTTTTACCCATTAAGACATTAGGAAATTTGTCGTTTTGTGCATTACAAATTTTTCTTCTTACAATACTGTATGGGCTAAAGATAATTAAATTTAAAGATTTAATTTCAATCGTGTCTTAAAATTATCTAATTAAACTCTAATTAAACTTTTTGGCTTTCAAAGGCTAATGATGTAACTCAGAGGAACAAAATAATTTTATAATTTTAAATTGTCAAAAGTTTTTATTATTTTATGTGAAGTAATTATTAAATTTCTTTTCACCACAATCTACGTCATGATGTAACCTTCAAATGAACATTGTATTTTATGTTTTAAATAATATCCAAGCCTAATCCAACCCAAAACGAATGCATTTAAAAACTAAGATCAAACTCTATAATTGAATTTCTGTATGGTTCAAGGAATAAGCAGTGCTATTATTATATGTAACATAACTGTTCAATATGTTAAAGTATTTGTGATAATAGGCTAACCGATTGCTCGTTCAAGACTATCTTGCAGTCGTTCCGTAAGCGACGGCTGACGAAAACTGCCGGTCCTCGTAAATGTCGAAGTCTTTTGATCGTACGACATTGATACACCGCACTCTTTATCCCTACGTTGTTTCCTTTCCAGGCAAGCAGCGAAAGCACAACCAACCGCATGACTCAGTCTTTCTCCCTAAAATAAGATATAAATTTTCCAAATAAATACAAGCTTTTTTTTTTTAAATCCATCGTTACATCTAAACAACATTATTATATATTTTGATAAACTTCTGGATAATTTGTTGCGAGGAAAATTTACAGCATTAAGTTTGGTAATCGCATTATTATATACACGAATTAATAAATTCAACCAACTGTTTCTTTTAATGCCAAGAATCCGTGACACATCCAGCGTCTTGTAGTACCATCTCTACAAATATAACTGAATCCTTGATCATGATTTCTATCAGGAGCACAAAAAGATACTTTCTCGATAGTCTGATCAACGATTAATCCTTTCGTTTCATCCTCGACAACTCTAAGGCCATCGGCAGAGACATAAAGTATCGCTCGAACTGGTCGTCTCCTTGAATTCTAAAAGTATAATGGTATATAAGCATAATAGAATCGATAGATTAGTAAGAACAATTCATAGGCAATAGAGTACTCGTACAATTATTAAAACTATATGGTTAAAAATCTCTGGGTTACATAAATCTTAATACATAGCCGGGTATAGGCATTATTAAGTTATCATTATTAAATAATGCTAAATAATTATAATAATCTGATGTGAAATAAGAGCAGACGAATAAGTAGTGTCATTTTAAAAAATAATAGCTGCATTAGAAAATAATCTAACGTAGGATACGTACTCTCAGTACTTTCAAAGCTTCTTCGCAAACTTGCATCCCCCTGGATTCGTACACCTCGACGCATCCCAAATACTGTAAATAACAATTTTTGTCGATCATTAAGCATTACAATTGACAGACTGATTAAAAACAATCTGAATACAATATACACTCGATTACTATCACTCATCCACTAAATATCATCGCTAATGGTCGATGCAGGAGAATCAATGCGCGCACCTCGACTCTCAATTTATTGAAAATTAACATTGTACGATCAGCAAAATCAATAAAAATAGAAACGACATAGCTTACTTGCTGATACGGATCGAGCTTACTTTAAACATCATTGCACACTTTAAGCATAACTGCTGCACCAGTGCGGCAACGACACTTTCTAAACAACAAACAAACCAAATATGAAAATATGATGAAAGTAAGGGTCACCTTGACGTGAAAGGCGCAAGTCGACGATCGCACTGCGCTTTCGTCCGCCTGCCACTGATGAGGTTTGCTTGGGTCGCTTGCGTGGGAGTCTTTTCGCCTGCGAAAGCTATCTCGAAAGCTCTTCCGTAGACGGTCCATCCTCTTGACCGGCGACCTCTCTCGCTTCTGCAACATATAATTCCCATGCCTCGTTAGCCTTCATTATGACCCGGTAATACGGCTCTATTTGAAGGTTAGAACGATCGAACGCTAGTTCCGACATTGGTCCGACATAGCTACGGCATTGGTCCTCGATCGTTCGCATGTATCGATTGCTTAAGTCGCGCGCAAGGATCGCGAGCGCGCAACCAGTGGTAGGAAAAGAGAAGGGCGAATAATGAAAGTGCCGCGGGCATGTTATACACGAGCTGTGAGGCACATCCGTCATCATGGTTTCCATCTTGATGCAACGAGCTTCGTTACCTATGACGCGTGCGCGATTCCAGCCCCCGAGGAGATTCCTGCATGCGATTGCGAAGTGCGGGAAAGCTCGGGCGATATCGCGGTAAGGCCGTCGTCATTCGTAAGGCTAGAAAGCCGTGTGCACGACCGCTCGGTGACGGGAAATGATGGTCGGCGAGCGGTGCTAGCTTGGGGAAATTCAGGACACAGAGGCCGTGGCGAGAGCCGCGAAAAATCATGAAAGATCATTGGGAATTGATAATTGTGGGAATGGAGAACGGCATAATTGACAATAAGCCCGATGTAATAGATCTGAGCGGCTGCAGTCTGTGTCAAGGTACACTTCGGTCCGTAGAAGCAAGATAGAAGAGAACGTATGACAATATTACACAATTCGAAAAATTCCGTTTCACGTTACATTTTTATTACTTTATACACGAGCACGATGTAATGAAATATTTATGGAAACTTTTTGCCGAAATTTCCGTTTCACTGCTTTAGCGCCAAAGTTAACAAGATTAAAAATTAATTACTCGATTTACGTGGAATGTCAGGCTGCGGGTAAATTTTGGCTGCCGATAGATCGGTTAGATCGGCCACTATTCCGTTGCTAAAGTTCGTAAAAAAAAAAAAAAAAAAAAATGTCCCTATTTCTATTGCACAACAAAGCTCGTTGTTCTCATTAAATATTAAATAATTTCTTGTAATTTGCGCAATGTAAAATGCTTTATTGTTCCCGATAAATATGCACGTAAATTGTCGCGTATGTAATTATTTCCTAATGCATTCGAGCATCGTACGCGAGTCGTAGAAGGTTCGGTAGCGCCAACAAATTCAAATCTACTTATCACAAAAATCTAGATCTTCTATCATTATCAAGCTAACTTTTGTCGCATTAAAAATAGTTTGCTCGTTGTTTGAATTGATCAATAAAGAATTGAAAAAGAAAGGAAAGAAAGGAAAGAAAGGAAAGAATGGAAAACAAATAATAAAAGAAAATAAATGCAATTGAATCTCGTATTATCCAATATAACGAGTCAACTTGGTAATTAAACAAAAGCCAGATGACAGCTATTCAAACTTTTTTAATTTTTTTTTTTTTCATACAGAAAGCGTAAATGCTCGAGGGGAGTTGCGAGTAGGGGGTTGGGGAGAGGGGAAGGGGATCATCGCATCGATTGTGGATAATAAATAATCTTGGCGAATGGGCTCGTCTGTCGAAAGTTAAAGAATAAAATTTTCAAAGCCACGTCTCCGGCGTAGCCTCGACTCAGACTCAGCAGAGACAAAGAGAAAAGAGATTCGCTGGTTAAATCGAGCGGCGCGAACGCTAATAATCAGCAGAAACATCAATTATCGGCACCGAGAAAGTTAAGAAAGCGCTGGTTAGCAAACGACAATGTCTAGGGCAAATGGAGAAAGGATGAGAGGGAGTTATCGGGGTGTGCTGACCTGGGGAAGGGGGAGGTGGGAGGGGTGAGCGCGATTGGAAGGGGAGAGGGAGAGTATAGTGCCGACCTCGGTATCCCAGAGATCTGCGAAAACGGCGTAAAAAGCCAAGAGCGAGAAGGATGAGAGGAAAAAGCGGGGAGAGCGACAGCAGCAGCGTTCTACGTTCACTTCGGGCTGACGAGTCTCTCTCCTCTCTTCTCCTCTCCTTTCCACACCTCACCGCTTCTCTCCTCTCCTTGTCGTACCGATCCTTTTTCTTTCACGCCGTCGGCCATGTGATCGAATCTTCACCCGAGTTCCCAAAGATTGAAGCACCCCAAAATGTGCAGCCCCCTTGCGCGGTACCGGTAAGACCCAACCGACCCTACTTGCGCACTCCGGCCCCGTTTATTCTTTTCTTCGAGGGACTAGCGAGGCTCGAGCCTTTTATTGCGTCACAGGCTCTTTCGCGCCACTGTCGCCGTCCTTATCCTACATTCCGCCGCGTCCGTGTAACGCGTCGATCATCCGATGCCAATCTTATCTTCGCGCCTGAAATGGGCGCTACCGTATCACCGAAGCTCGCCATTGCCTCAATTGCACTTGGTGATTTCTCTTCATTGCAATCGTCCTTATATCACATTCTCATAATTTAACGCTCTTATTAGCATAATTTCTCATTTTCATGAGTTGGATATCGTGACCCTCCACTACATAGTCAAGGGGGATGACAGGTTGCCGAACAATTTTCGCACAAATTACGCGTTACTTCTGTCCTGTGGATGATTTTTTTTTTTTAATTTTATTTTTTTATTAATCCAAGCTCGAGCACTCTGTGAGAACATTTCCGTGCCCGTCGGTAACGCCTTGGATAATTACGAATACGCAATTGCTTAAATAATTATTATTAATTAGAGAAGAATAGCTTATCGGTGTGCAAAATAACGTAGCAACGATTGATCTAATCAAGGTAGATGCTCGGACAGCTGACAATAAATCCACTGATATTTAATATCAACGAACGTAAGGCTAAATCACCATATGGTGCTGCGAAACTTTACAGATAATAAATTGTTAAAAATTGAAAATCACTTTTGGAGATTTTTTCCAAGCGTATCGACGTAACTCTAAACTATATCTCTAAAATATTTTTAAAAGTACTTCTCTCTCTCTCTCTCTCTCTCTCTCTCTCTCTCTCTCTCTCTCTGCTCTGCACTTAAAAGGATGAATAAATATGTGACTGGCATTAGAATTACTGGAACAAAACTGATACATAAATAATAGGATGGAAACGCTCTTACATAATATACTGCATCATTAAATTGTACGCGATTGTTTTAAATCAGAAAGTTTGAATCTTATTATTAAAAAGAAACGGCAATTCATAAGTAGATAGTTCGTATTATTATATTTCCTTACAGATTTGAGCAAAAAAACAAAACAAAAAACAAAAACAAACAAAAAATTGAAGGAAAAATAGTGGCGCATGACAATTGGGTGTCTGGCCTACGAAGCCACAGCGCACTCCTAAACTATACTCTCACATTATATGATGGCTAAGGCTTTTGGAAAAATAATGTAATACATAAAAGATCTCTATCTACCTATGCAACTTCGCGTCTTTAAGATAACCGATTTTAATTGCGAGCCTTGCATTGTAATGACCAAGGAACGTTCCGGTTAGTTGACTTTGCACGACTCCATACAATATATTCTTCTCATATTTTTTTTTTCCTACGCGCTTCTTATTCACTATTGTCAACACACTTGATATAAGCATATTTTCACAATTATGACGAAAAGAAACGCTCGAAACTTACGTAAACTTATTCTTATTCGTGCGCTTACAATGCCAACAATCTTTTGTGGCAAATAGAAAAAAGGTGAACTCGCTACGTTGAACGGAATCGATTATTGTCGACGCTGATGCTCCATCCAACGGATAAGAATTAATTCAATTAAACCACCGACTTAGGTTCATACAATACTCGCCGGTATTTATCTGGGGTCGCATAGATTTTAGCGATCAAACGCAAATTTATCCTCGTCAATAACATCGATTTAGTCTGAAACGCACCATCGAGCCTTCATTACTTCCTTACGCCATTACTTTTAGTCATTTTTTCTATCGCGGTACAACACACAAGTACCTCGACACTCTTAATACCATAAGATCTAAATTATATCAGTGCTTCTCAGCGTTTTAACTTATTGTGCGCGCCATAGGCATAAGTAAATATTGCTCGCAAAGTAAGATAAAAATTGATGACATATCGATGAATACGAGGAATCCCGGCTTATTATATTATCCAGCGACATGTCCGTAATGCGCGAGGCTTGCAACGAACGACCTCTTGACAAATCATAACCATTGCCCCTCGATTTTCTATCATTAGCAGCATGCTATAGTAACCAATCCAATCGCATTTGCCGCATATCATAAATCCAAAGAATAATCCGAACATTGGCTTAAGTATGAAGAAAAGCAGGGAGGGATTAATCGCTCGGAAAGCGCCGAGGAGCATTAGGCTTTCGACGCATCTACGAAAATAGTAAAACGATGAAGAAAAAACACACGGGTGCTCTTAACTAAGAAAGCACGAGCGAGCGACCAGCTGGTTCAACCATACGGCCGTGGACGACAGCACTTTCAAAACAAGCATATGCTCAGCGCGAACAGGACCCGGCTCGAACGATACTCTTTTACACGAGGATAAGAGCGGGCGAAAAAAGAATTAGCGCTCGCTTCCTACGCTAATAGGCTAAACGTGCGAAAGTAAGCGCTCTCGAGGCAATCGGATTACTACAGTGTTTACAATCGTAAGTCCGTGTAGATCGCGACGCGAAACGTACAATGCGCCTTTCATCCGCCAGACCGAGTCGCGTGCACGCATCTCGCTCGCTTTAATCGCATAACGAAATTGCTAAATTTAGCCTCTCGCTCCCTCTGTTCCTCCCCCGTCGCTCGATCGCGGCCCAACGGTCCTGCTATCGCTGCTACTACCGCTACTACTACCACTACTACTACTACTACTACTACTACTACTACTACTACTACCACTGCTACTACCGCTACCACTGCGCCATTATCGCTACTACTGCCACTATCGCTACTACTGCTACTACTACTACTACTACTACTACCACTACTACTACTACTATCACTACTAGTACTGTTCTACCACTACTACTACTACTATCACTACTAGTACTGTTCTACCACTGCTACTACCGCTACCACTGCCACTATCGCTACTACTGCTACTACTACTACTACCACTACCACCATCACT